TCAGTAATTTTTACTGAGGGAGAATTAGAGCAGTAATGGAAATTATGTCAAAAACAATGTAAAAGGAAACAAATATATTTAAAAACATTTATAGCACTAGCTGGTTTGGCTCAGCAGATGGAACATCAGTCTGCTGACTATGGAAGGATCCTGGGTTCCATTTCAATCAAGGGCACGAACCTCAATTGCAGGCTCAATCCCAGCCCAAGTGGAACATGTGCAGGAGGCAACCAATGGATGTCTCTCTCAAATAGTTGTGTCTGTCTGTCGGTCTCTCTCTCTCTTTCGCGCGCGCGCTCTCTCTCTCTCTCTCTCTCTCCCTCTCTCTCCCTCTCTCTTCCTCTCCCTCTCCCTTCTACTCTCTCTAAAAAATCAATGGGAAAAGTATCCTTGGATGAGTATTAATCCCCATAAAAACAAAACAATATAGCTTTAACAGGCCTTGGGGAATAATTGTTAGTTACTAATCCAACTACATTATAAAGAAGAGTGCTATTTTTAAAATTCTTAAGCTACAGGGTGGTTTTGTGGGTTCAGCATGAACCTTAGAGGGGATAGACTTGCCTTTAAATTTTAGCTCTTAGTATTTGTGTGTGGCTTTAAGTAAATCAACTAATCCTGACTTGCAGTGTGTAAAAGATCAGAGTCCAGTTCATTTGAAGTTAGTTTTACAATATTAAGATTTTTTTAAACTGCTTATTGCTTTAAGATGTCTTAATTTATATCTTTCATAATCAAATTAATATATAGCTAAAATTCCAGAGAAATAACTTGCTTTGAGTGTGGTACAACATCATATATATATAGAAACTAACACTATATATATATATATATATATATATATATATATATATATATATATATATATAGTGTACCACACTCAAAGCAAGTTATTTCTCTGGAATTTTAGCTATATATTAATTTGATTATATATATATAGTGTTAGTTTCCTAATGTATAATAAATTACCACACATTTTGTAGCTTAAAACACAAATCTTATTTTATAGTTTCCCTTTATCAGGAGTCCTAGTATGGGTCAGCTGTGGGGCTCTCTGTTTAAGGTCTTACCTGAGGGGAGCTGTGATTTTATCAGACTTGATGTCCTTTTCCATGCTTACTGGTTGTTGGCATAACATGGTTCTTGTGATTTTTCTTGCTAGCTGCCTAGTGACCCCTCTGAGCTCCTGACCTATCCCGTCTCTTCCTCATGGCCCCCTTAATGTGTGTTCTCACAACATAGCAGCTTATTTCTATGGGTTTGACAGCAGAATCTCTTCAGGAAGAATTCTGTTCCTCTTTTGAGGGCTTTCCTTAATTAAATCAGGCCTACCCAGGATAATCTATCCTTTGTGATTGATTAAATGAAACCAACCGACTATGGAATTATAATTATATCTGAAAATACCTTCATCTCTGTGAAGGAGTTTATATAATTTAGGTCATGTGATTTAACCTACTCATGGGAATAAATTCACTGTATTTACAGTCCTAACCATATACCAGGAAGGGAGGGATCATACTATGTGCACCAGAGGTGGGAGTCTTAGAGGCCATTTTATAATTCTAACTGCTCCCCAACACACACACATGATTGTGCCTGATTTTATCTTATCCAGTAGGAGCATCTATTTTGTTTTGTTTTTCAAACCCATCTATAATTTTTGTCCCAGATCTGTATTAACTATATATAGGAATTGAATATACTTTTTCTCCATTGTATTGTTTGTCTTCCCTTTTTATAAACAAACTAGAGGCCCAGTGCACAGATTTGTGCACCAGTGAGATCCCTTGGCCTGGCCTGTGCCCTCTCCCAATCTGGGACCACTCAGGGGATGTCAGAGAGCCAGTTTTGGTCTGATCCCACAGGCCAGGCCAATCGACCCCATTGGTGCACAAATCTGTGCACTGGGCCTTTAGTATCCATATAAGATCTTTGGTTAATCTCTTCCCACTCTCGCCCCTCCTGCCTTCCCTCTGCGATTCATCAGTCTGTTCCATGTTTCAATGCCTATGGCTTCTGCTCCTGCGTTGAGTGTCTGCCCCCTAGTGGTCAGTGCATGTCATAGCTACCAGCCAGTCATTCAGGCATATATATATATATATATATATATATGGACTAGAGGCCAGTTGCACAAAGATTTGCATAATATGTCTTCTTTCTTCTCCTGGCTGCCAGCACCAGTTTTCCTCTGGCATCTGGGAACCAGGCCTTCGCTCTGGCCAGAGCCTTCAGTCTTCGCTCCAGCTGGAGCACCGTTCCTGTAGCTCCCTCCGCCCCCAGCCCGCCCTCTCATAGCAGGCATCCCAGCCCACCTGGCCACTTCCTGTTGCTCCCTCTGCCCCCCGCCACCCCTTCATAGCAGATATCCCACCCCACCTGGCCACTCTGTGCCTATATTCGTGCTGCCCAGAGGCCCGGAGTGGCTTGGGGGCAGGGCCGCTGCCATCTTTGTTGGGTTAATTTGCATACTCCTGATTTTCTGGTGGGCGTTGCAAAATGATGATCATTTTGCATATTTCTCTTTTATTATTGTAGATAGAGCTTCTGACCAAAAGATATTGCTGGTAGGAGAGGACTATGCTTCAAATTTATTAACTGTGGCCTTAGTGGCCAGGGTTTGCCAGTTTCCGTTTTCAAAGGAACAAGAATTAAGGAAAGGAAACCTGATTCTCTGATTCTGTTTTCTTCACAGCAGTTTGTGAGAGTGCTCTTCATAAAGACTACTTTAGGTATGATAGTTGAAGGCAAATGGCCTTATTAAAGTAACTCTTCAAAGGTACTTACTTTGTAGATTATAAGCTTAAGAAGATTGCCAAAATAATATGAAACTGACATGAACTGTTTTTGAGAGGAGGAGAGAATTGCTGAAGTGGTAAAAAGAATGCCTTAGATTGAGGAGTCGGGAATTCGAAATACATTTTCTCCTATGAAATTATTTCTTACTCTTACCCTCAAATAAACCAAGCTCCTACTTATATGATTGGCATTTAAAACATTATCCTGTAGTTGGCTACTTGTATCCTTTTTTTTTTTTTTTTTCTTAACTAGAATAAGCTTTTTGAAGGTGGGATGCATTTTTTATCTTTCTTCCTAACATAACTGCTTACAGGAGGCAGCCTGTAACTGTTTTCTTGATTCAGCAATTCGTACTTCATCATAGTGGTAAAGGATATTAGCACATTCAGGTTTGTAGTGCAAAGAAAAGCTTTAAATTTATGTTTAAAACATGTTGTGTAAAATGCTAATGAATTCTAAACTTACTGCCTGCAAGTGTTTTGCTTTTACTCCTACAAAGATCTTTGGAAGGCCGAAATCGGTTTGGCTCAGTGGTAGAGCGTCGGTCTGCGGGCTGAAATGTCCCGGGTTCGATTCCAGTCAAGGGCATGTACCTTGGTTGCGGGCACATCCCCGGTGGGGGGTGTGCAAGAGGCGGCTGGTCGATGTTTTTCTCTCATTGACGTTTCTGGTTCTCTCTCTCTTCCCTTCCTCTCTGTAAAAAAATCAATAAAATATATATTTTTTTAAATTTAAAATTCAAAGATCTTTGGAAGTAATTTAACTCTTAATCAACAGGCATGGTTATCTATTTACCAGGCTGATAGCAAAACAGAAACAAAAAATTTATTTAAAAATCCAAGTAAGTTGATTATAGCAGGATTATTAATAGCTAGCAAGCCACTTCATGATCTGTTTCTGTCTTGCTCTATAGCTACTTCCTTACTGACCAGCCATACTGAACATTTTGTAGTTTCCCAACTGTCGATTGCTAGTTATCCTTTCATAGCACCTAGTGCCTACCATTATCAGAGAAAGTTGATACTCTATATTGTACAGTGATTTGCTTTATTTTCATAGCATACACTTCTTGAGGTAAACCATGCCTCATTTTGGTTTATTGCCTGTCACAGAATAGATACTTATGTAAGGGAATGAACGAGGCAGTGAAGAAGCTCTAAAAATACATGGTCTGCCCTGACTGGTTTGGCTCAGTGGATAGAGTATCCATCTGTGGACTCGAGAGTCCCAGGTTCGATTCCAATCAAGGGCATGTACCTTGATTCCAACCACATGCCCAGTGCGTGGTGTGCAGGAGGCAGCTAATCAAAGCTACTCTTTCATTGATGTTTCTAACTCTCTATCCCTCTCCCTTCCTCTCTGTAAAAAAATCAATAAAATATATATTTTTTAAAATAAAAAAAAATAAAAACACGTGGTTTTCAGTATAGGGTCAGGCAGGTCCACAAACCCTCACCCCAAAGGGGGAAGGAAGTTCACTCCACAGCACAGTGGAACAGGTGATACTCATGATGTTCATGATTTAAAATGCTATAAATTAAGTATATTTACATATGAGTTTGAGAGGATTAACCTGAAATCCAGTCATGAATTTAAAACATGGAGGCATTTATTTTGGGGCTTATGATTTGGCCTTTTATTCCTTAAGAAAATTGCTAGGTTTGTGTTGAATAGAGGTGAGAATACCATGGTCTTGTTTTTTATGCTTATGATCTCTATAGAAGTTTTGCCACAAATTTTCTGTAATTATTTGTCTTCTTTTGCACAGTTGGAAGTTTAAAAAATAAAATGAGAAAATATATTGATCTTAGTTCAGGTGGACACATATCTTTCAGTACATAAGATAAGTAATTTTTACCTCAGTTTTTCTTAGCATAAAGTCTTGTCTGTATCCATTAGGATTTCTGAATTAATACCAACAAAAGATATCAATAGAAATCATATGGGAAAAATTGGAAGGAGTCTGTGTTCTTGAGCAGTGCTGTTTTGCCTTAAAAGTTTTTGTAAGAAAATCTATTGCCAGAGGCAACCTTTGCTGACCTTAACATTTGCTTTGATGTTTTTAAGGTTAATTTTTAATTTTTTCCAGTCTCTGCTAAAATCAGATACCTAGAAAATCCAGACTGTCCTTCATTGGCATGATTCTCCACATTGGTGCAGCTAGCCATGAACTATCCTTTTCTTCTCCCTCTTTTTCCCAGATATCTCCCGGGGCCAATTCAGCACCTCTACCTGGCCATCCTAACAAGGTGATTTGTGAAAGGGTGAGACTTCAGAGCCTGTTCCCTCTTCTCCCAAGTGATCAGAACACTACCGTTCAAGAGGATGCTCACTTCAAAGCTTTCTTCCAGGTTCTTATATATTTACCCTTTCCCTACATAGGGCTGAAAATCACAGATAACATTCTAGGTTGTTTCTAGGAAGGCTTGAAATAAAATTCTCAGTGTCTTCCCTCTTCTTATTTCTGTTCTATGTGGGAATAAATATTCTTCTTAGAGGACTTCTTTAATGTAAAACTTCCAGTCTGCTTTTCTGAAGAATATCTTCTCTTGAGCTGCTGTTTATTTTTGACCATTTATATTCTTATTTTTTTACCTTTTGGTCTTAATCACTTGTCCTAATAGGCCAAATTCTGTAGGTTATTAGGAAATATGACAGAATATGTGAAATTGTGTAGGCAAGGGGAAATGGAAGCATATAATATTTTTTTAAAGTTGTCACTAATTTGCTTAGTGCTCAGAGTTATTTAGTAATGCATATTTCAGAAAACATGGTTAGTTACCATTAGTGAGTTTTGATACCTGTGGGTAAAATGTGATTTAAATTTTTGTTACGTATTAAATGAAAATGAGATGTGAATGGATTGAAATCATTATGTTATTAATAAGATTACTAATGTATGTTATATATGTTCATTAACTATTAAACTTTTAATCCATTAACCCATAGGTACCACAAAGGAAACTCAGTTACAGAATTGCTTCTTGGTTGCTAAGGTTTTGCCCCTGTTATGTATTTGTACATGTTCATATAAACCTAGTGAGGTACTGAGAGTTGCTAATAAGACTATTTACATAGAGCCAGCTCATTTTCTTTTTGTGTAGAAGTGACAGGTTGCAGCTTGGGACTAGTTTTGAAAAAGGAATGTGTGACACATTAATTGAAGATGTTGAATTTCTGAGACTAGCTGTGTAGGTCCGTGGTTGGCAAACTGCGGCTCGAGAGCCCTATGCGGCTCTTTGCCCCTTTGAGTGTGGCTCTTCCTGGGCAAGACTATTTTGAAGAAGTGGCATTAGAAAAAGTTTAAAAATTTGGCTCTCAAAAGAAATTTCAATCATTGTACTGTTGATATTTGGCTCTGTTGACTAATGAGTTTGCCAACCACTAGTGTAGGTGCTTCAGGATTCTCTGTCTTATATTCCTTGTTGGAATTTGTGCCAGGTTCTCTGCTTTGCATGTATTATCTCATTTTGTTTTTAACCCTCATAATAAACTAATCATGGGTGATTTTTCTAGATAAAGAAATAGGTTTGGAAAAGCACACCAAGATGCCCAATTACATAGCTAGTTATAGGCAAAGCAGAGACTGAAATCCAACTTTTTCTGTTTCTCATATACTATATTTGCCCATTTACTGCCTGTTAGATATTACCAATAAGTATTTCTTTAAACACAATGCAGTACATGTTAAGAGATACAGTTTTCTGTATTGAATTGAATGGCGTATTGAATGCCATTTTTGATGTGTCATTAGCCTGTAATATCTTGATATTTAGTAGTAGACCAATAGGGGAAAAGTGACTTAAACCTTTGCTGCTGTCACCAAAAAAAACAGTTATGTGATGTTTTCTATGTTCTTTATATTTTGAGTCATCCTCAGGCTTTAACTCAACATTAACTTTAATTTAAATTCAGAGAATTGCCAACTGCCGTAGATTTACACCCATGTTTTGAAAATACAACAGGACTTAGAGCTAATTCAATTTGGGTGTTGCAAAAAGGTGAAAGATATTGTTATTTTTAGTCCTAATTTAACTTACATCTTATTTTTCTCTAATTTGAGAGCAAGGCACTTAGTGATTTTGTCTCCAAAGGAGACTGTCCCAGAGATTTTCTTTGCCCATTTATTGCCCTCCCACTTTTCTTCATGAAGGATTATATCCTTCTCACATCTCCTTTGAAATACTGTCAGATACCTTCAACTAATTTATACCAAAATTAGGTGTGGTTTTTTAGTTCTGATTATTCTGCTCATCCTTATAAAACTTGGTTGCCATGTAAAAAAGAGACCCTACTCAGTTATGTCCTGCCCTCTCAGAAAGTTTAATGTATTCTGTTTTCTTACTCTTGGCTTTTCCCCCAAGTTCCTTCCCTCCCAACTCTTTCTATCTTTCCTTCTCTTTGGAGTACTTTGTTTTAAAAGGTTACCTACCTCTTCTTCTTCCCCCCCCTCCCCCCCCCTTAAAGCACCTCTACTTCCTTATCTTAGCTGAAACTAGTATCTTTTCTAGAACATAACTTTCCCTGTAGCCTTCTCTGGGGGGAAAAAAATTACCGATTTTTCCCATTCCAAGCATTGGTTTGGGTATGTGGCTAGTAATTAAAATGATAACAGAGGAGAAGGAAAGTTGATATTCTCCTGGATCCAGATTTCCAACCCCAGTTTTTTAACAAAAAGCTCATCTTGTTTGATCTCTTTTTGTCATTCATCTTCACAGTTTTATCAGTTTTGTCACTACCCTTGTTAGCTTTTTTACTTGCTTACTTTTATATTGTATTGCTTGTAGTAAATATCTTTCTAATTTTACATGCTTTTCTGATTTTTAAAATTATGAATTATTTTATATATGCAAGCTATAAAGTATATGGTAAACGCATGTATAATTAAAAAAATACATAACACCACCTTAGAACTCAACTATTACCAATATTTTTGAAGTCTCCATATGATCTTGCCTGTTACATCCATCTGCTGTCCCATATCTGTGCCTTAGGCAAACCTCGACTGAATTTTGTGTTAAGTATTCCTTTGCTTTTCTATATGGCCTTACCACATACAGTATCCCTTAATACTATCTACTATTTAGTTTTCAAATTTAATATAAATGGTATCATACATTATATATTTTTGTCATTTTGAGATTCACTCATATTGATGCATGTGGATGTGTTGATGAATTAGTTTTCTTCTTTTAGTATCCCATTTATTACATGACTATACTACAGTTTATCCCCTCTCTTTTTGGTGAATATTTGGATAGTTTCCAGTTTTTTACTATTATTACAAATAATGCTGCCATGAATATGCTTGTATGTTTCCTGATGTACATTTAGTTGGTATGTTAATTTTTCTGTAAAAGGGATAACTATTTATTGCTCAGGGTTTTCTTACAAAAGTGGTGCATTTTCTTCTCTATAAAAAAATAAGCTGTATTTAAAATGAAAACCGAAGTGTCTCATAATTAGAAAAATATTTTTAAATAGATGTATAATTGATATACAGTAAAACTTACCCTTTTGATACAGAGGTCTGTGAATTATAACAAACTAGAGGCCCAGTGCATGGATTTGTGCACTGGTGGGGGGCATGGCCTGCGGGGATCGGCTTGCCGTGGGAATACCGCTCATCCCATTCAGCTAAGCATCACTCCCACTGTGAGAGTGCACTGACCACCAGGGGGCAGCTCCTGCGTTGAGTGTCTGCCCCCTGGTGGTCAGTGCACATTATAGTGCACTGGTCATCCTGGTTGTTCCACTGTTTGGTCGCTGGGCTTTTTTATATATATATGCTTATGGATTGTAAAACCACCACAATCAAGATGTAGAATAGTTTCATCACCCCCCAAAAATTCATTTCTTTATCCCTTACAGTTTTACAAATTAAGTTTCTGTATTACCATCCAATTTAACAATTGTGATTGAAGAGAGTATGCTTTCATGAAATAATCAGGTTTATTGTGGAAATTTTATGTTTGGCACAGTCATTAATTTCAGAGATGAGTATGTATGTGTGTATTTTAATGGCCAGCTGAGGTAAGTGTCAGTGAGCTAATTGCACAGATTCGTACACAGGGCCACTAGTATCTACAGTATATAGTTGTTGCAGAACCAAGTAGCATGTTTGGCACATGGAGAAAGAGATGCAGTTTTCAAACTATTCAACTCAAAGAATGTTTTAGGTGACTGAATGGTATGGATTTGCTTTTCCTAGACTCTTGGATTGCCTTTTATGTTTCTTTTGGCAAGAGATCCATGAGCTTACATTTTATTAAGAATTTCAAAGTTCTTACTGTTTTTTGAAACCCACACTATTTAGGGTATTTATCTCAGACTTCTTGTTGTAATTTGGAATTATTACTCTTTGGAGCTGTCATCATCCTGTAATTTCTTTTCATTTCTATTGTTTATTGGATCCTTTATCTATTCTAATAAAAGGGTAATATGCTAATTAGGCCAGATAGACAGAACGTATTCCAGACGTCCTTCCTGACAAAGCTGGGGCTCAGGCAAAGCTGCCTAGGGTCCCAGGTGTCTGCCCAGGCAAAGCTGCCCGAGTGCCTGTGGCCAGCCAGAGGAGGGAAGCCTGAGTCCCAGGTGCGGGGGGCTGAGGCAGAGGCAGTTAGGGGGGACCAGGCAGGCAGGCAAGCAGTTAGAGGCATCAGGCAGGCAGGCGAGCAGTTAAGAGCCAGCAGTCCCAGATTGTGAGAAGGTCGGGCCTAAACAAGCAGTCGGATAATCCCCCAAGAGATCTCGGATTGTGAGAGGGTGCAGGCCGGGCTGAGGGATTGCCCCTCCCCCCTACACAAATTTCATGCACTGGGCCTCTAGTTTGTATATACTTCCTCGTGTGAAGAGAGGAGCTTGTTCACACACATAAAATCAAGAAAATTCTTCTGAACAGCTAATGTGAGAAGCAACTTGTTTTTCTTTTAATTAAATATTTATTGTTGAAAGTATTACAGATGTCCCCCTTTTCCTCTGTTGACCCTTTCCAACCCCCCCTCCCCCCGCCCCCAAGGCCTTCACCACCTTATTGTCTGTGTCCATGGGTTATACCAGTGGTGGGCAAACTGCAGCTTGCAAGCCACATGTGGCTCTTTGGCCCCTTGAGTGTTCTAACGCCACTTCTTCAAAATAGACTCTCCCAAGCCAAAAATCGACTTTTGTGCATGTGCTACAAAGTTTCAATCGCATTGTACATGTGCGCCTGTACGTGGTATTTTGTGGAAGAGCCACACTCTAGGGGCCAAAGAGCCGCATGTGGTTCTCGAGCTGCAGTTTGTCGACCACTGGGTTATGCATATATGCATGCAAGTTCTTTGATTGATCTCTTCCCACCCACCCATCCTCCCCTACCGCCTTCTTCAGATGTCAGTCTGATTCATGCTTCTGACTCTGGATCTATTTTGTTCATCAGTTTATTTTGTTCATTAGATACCACATATGAGTGAGATCTTGTGATACTTGTCTTTCTCTGACTGGCTTATTTCACTTAGCATAATACTCTCCAGGTCCCTCCAACAACTTTCTTTTTTAAATCCTCACTCAAGGATAACTTCTTCATTGATTCTAAAGAGAAAGGAAGGGAGAAAGGGAGAGAAACATTGGTTGGTTGCCTTTCATAGGCACCCCAATCGGGGAATGAACCCACAACCTGGGTATGTATCCTAACTGGGAATTGAACCTGAGCCCTGGGGATGACACTATAACCAATTGAGCCACACAGGTCATGGCATGAAAAGCAACTTTGAATCTGGCAAGGTGATTGTTTTTGCCTTCACACTAGATTAATAGTTTGATGTATAAAACTCTATATTATTTTCCCTCAGAGCATTTTTAGCTTTTGTTTTCTGTGGGAAGTCTAATGCTAATCTAATTCTTGTTTCTTTGTAAGTTACTCCCTCTTTCCTTTGTTGGAAACTGAGGATTTTTTTTGGTAAAGTGTTGCTCATTCTTAAAAAAGAAAAAAATCGTTGCTCATTCTGACTTTTTTTTTTTTAAATCAAAATATCTAAATTCCAATGGTTATTTTTAATTTTTAAGATTATCAGAACATAACTGATATTCTTTAAAAAAAATATATTTTATTGATTTTTTTACAGAGAGGAAGGGGGAGAGATAGAGAGCCAGAAACGTCGATGAGAGAAACATCGACCAGCTGCCTCCTGCACACCCCCCACCAGGGATGTGCCCGCAACCAAGGTACATGCCCTTGACTGGAATCAAACCAGGGACCTTTCAGTCTGCAGACCGACGCTCTACCACTGAGCCAAACCGGTTTCGGCCATAACTGATATTCTTACTAAAATCAAGGGGTAAAAACAAATATACTTGTAATAGCACTATTAAATCTAGGGAGAAAAGATTAATGTGGCAAAAAGTTATAAAGAGTATATGGTTCTGAAAACTTTTTAGTTACAATGACAAATTTGAAATAATATTATTAAATATAGAAGGAAAATTATGTGGTTTTTGGAAATACCTCTGTTAAAATAATTTGGAATGATCAGAAATAACCACTTACCAGTTTGCTTCTTTTCTATTAATTTAGTCAGGTCTGTTTTATGTTATCTGTTAAAATCTAGTGTTGTAGTAAATAGGACCATATAATTAACTGATTTTTTTGCTTGCAGCAGGCACCAATTATCTTACAATCAAAAGTGCTGTATTACCCAAATAATTAGAACTTGCTGGGAGTAGATCAAGTTAGGAGAGATTCTTTTAGGAACCCAGCCTTAATCAAACTCTGAATTCATTTGTAATTTTGACAGTTGTGGTGAGGCTCAATTGGGAAATTGAGTTGTGTTGGGAGAGTTCATTCATACTAATTTTATAGCTAGGAAGCAATGCTATGATTCTTGAAAACTTGAAACTGGGTGCCAGCATGTAACATATGTAAGTTTTGAATCATCCATTCCCATGATCTACCTGAAACTCCATGTCTTTCCAAAAATGCTGTAACATTTTAGTTAAGTGATAATCTAGATCAGCGATTTTTCATCATTTTTCATCTCATGACACTCAAAACCTCCTTAAATTTTGTGACACACCAAAAAATAAATATTTTGCTGATGTAACTTAAAAAAGGTGTAATTTTGATTTATTTGCACTGGACAGCTATTGTTATATTGTCTGTTGTCATTTTTTAAATTTGACAGTCTAAAGGAAAAAAAGGTCAGTGCCCCGACTAAATATTCAGGTAATGCATGTTTTAAAAAATTATTGTGGCACATTGGTTACGCTGATTTAGGTCTGTGGACTATTTCTTTTTATCTGTTTCATATAAAACTTATTTTATCCAGGTAACTTTTATTAAAGAAAATAAGTAGCCAGAACCGGTTTGGCTCAATGGATAGAGTATCGGCTTGGGGACCGAAAGGTCCCGGGTTCGATTCCGGTCAAGGGCATGTACCTTGGTTGCGGGCATATCCCCAGTAAGGGGTGTGCAAGAGGCAGCTGATGGATGTCTCTCTCTCATCGATGTTTCTAACTATCTCTCTCCCTTCCTCTCTGTAAAAATCAATAAAATATATTTAAAAAATAAATTAATTAAATTAAAATAAATAAAAAAAGAAAATAAGTATAATGGCCTTAAATACAGAAATAAGGATGCTGAGGAGTATGGTTTAGAATCAAGTCAAGAGTCTACTTAAATTATACCCCCTCCTAAATTGATCTCTCAGCTAAGAATTGATTCCTAAAAGAGTATCTGTTCAACTGATGGAAGAGCATAATGGAATTTCTCAGTTGAATAGGGATTTTAAAGAGATGGTTAAATACCATACAATTGCTTATTACCCTACTGTGTACCCTGTATGTTGTTATTTGATTACATTTACTATTAGTTTTAAGAAACAGAGTATACTTTTCATTTGATATTACTTACTGTTTATCTCTCTTCTCTGTCCCCTAAAATCTTTTTCTTTAAAGGTATATAGTGTATTTTTCCCCTCCTTTACACGTTAGGATAAATATATTTAAGTATCTATGCATACACTGTAATTTAAAAATCCTTAAAAGGTCTTATTCGGGTGATTGATTTTTGTTGCATTGGCAGAGTGAAGATAGTCCAAGTCCCAAGAGACAGCGCCTCTCTCATTCAGTCTTTGATTATACATCAGCATCACCAGCTCCCTCACCACCAATGCGACCATGGGAGATGACATCAAATAGGCAGCCCCCTTCAGTTCGACCAAGTCAACATCACTTCTCAGGGGAACGATGCAACACACCTGCACGCAACAGAAGAAGGTTAGTTGATTACAATTTCTTTCTTTTCTTTTCTTTTTTTTTTTTAAATAATCTTTGTTCAGATTATTACAGGTGTTCCTCTTCCCTCCCCCCGCCCCATAGCTCCCCTCCACCTGATTCCCAACCCTACCCCATGCCCTTATCCCCACCATTGTCTTCATCCTTAGGTGTAAGATTTTTGTCCAATCTCTTCCCGCACCCCTCAGACCTCCTTCCCCCTGAGAATTGTTAGTCCAATCCCTTTCTATGTGCCTGATTCTATTATATTCACCAGTCCATTTTGTTCTTCAGATTTTTTATTCACTTGATTTTTAGATTCACTTGTTGGTAGGTATGTATTTGATGTCTTTTTGTTTTCATAATTTTTACCTTTACCTTTTTCTTCTTCTTCCTCTTCTTAAAGAATACCCTTCAGCATTTCATGTAATCCTGGTTTGGTGCTGATGAACTCCTTTAACTTTTTCTTGTCTGTGAAGCTCTTTATCTGACCTTCAATTCTGAATGATAGTTTTGCTTGGTAGAGTAATCTTGGTTGTAGGTTCTTGTTCATCATTTTGAATATTTCTTGCTACTCCATTCTGGCCTGCATAGTTTCTGTTGAGAAATCTGCTGATAGTCATATGGGTACTATCTTGTAAGTAACTAGCTGTTTTTCTCTTGCTGCTTGTAAGATTCTCTCTTTGTCTTTTGCCCTTGGCATTTTAATTATGATGTGTCTTGGTGTGGTCCTCTTTAGATTCCTCTTTTTTGGGGTTCTGTGTGCTTCCTGAACTTTCTTTCACCAGGTAGGGAAAGTTTTCTTTCATTGTTTCTTTCAATAGGTAGGGAAAGTTTTCTGTCATTGTTTCTTTCAATAGGCCTTCAATATCCTGCTTGCTCTCTTCTTCTGGCACCCCAAAAATCTGGACGTAGGTACGCTTTAAGCTGTCCTGCAGGATTCTTAAGCTATCCTCACAGTTTTGGATTCTTCTTTCTTTTTGCCTCTCTGGTTGGGTGATTTTTGCTTCCTTATATTCCAGATCTTTGGTTTGATTCTTGGGGTACATTAATCTATAGTTGAGTGTCTGTATATTCTTTATTTCAGACTGTGTATGCTTAATTTCTGACTGGTCCTTTTTCATTTTTTTGGCATTCTCATTAAGGTCCTTGAAGGTCTCACAAAGGTTCTTGGAGGTCTCATCAAGGTTGAGTAACCTTATAAATGTGATTCTGAACTCTTATGTGTCGTCCAGTAGTTTACTTTCTTCCATCTCTCCCATTCGTGACATGCTCTGTGTCTCCTCATTTTGGCTGCCTCCCTGTGTTGATGGAGTGGCTTTGTGCGGCTGGTGACCTATAGGGGCCAGTAGCTCAGCTTCCCCAATCACCTGAGGTGGTCGCTTTTGATACATCCTTTTGTGGGCTGAATGCAAAGTCTTGGTGTAATTAAGCCTTGATTGCTGTTGGTATATGGGAGGAACTGACCTCCAAGCCAATTGTCTGTGAGGACCTGCTGTGTCTATAAAGGAAGAACTACTGCGCTGGGGATATGCCTTGTTTCAATGGGGCTTTGGTGTTCACTGAGTCAGTCTCCCGTACAATTTATTTCTTAAATTTTCTATCATTGGTAGATTTCTGTGTTTTTCTGTACACATTATAAACACATCAACACATATATACTTGTACACTCAAACATGAAAAATTATAAGTTTAGACTTCTACATTAGATTGTGAGAATTCATTTAGCTTGTGGTCAACAGAAAAAGAAATTGAAAGAGGCTAAAGTGACTTATCTAAAATCAATTTATACCATTATATAATATATTAATTCAGTTATCTTTATGGTTGAAGACTTTTCAGGCCAGCCTATAATCCTGAATATGGAAAAATGCATTTTATCTTTTATAATAGGAAGAGGGATAAGGAGATCCTAGAAATGAGCTACCTTTTTCCACTCTATTGCTATTTCTTCTGTATCTTTCAAGGCAATTGGGAGTATAATTAGCTTTTTTGTAAAAGTGTAGACTCTGTATGAAGAGTGATTGGCATTTAGTTCAACTCTCAGTCCTCTGTCTTCTCTTTCATGGGACTTGGCCTTTGCCTTTCCTTTCTAGGGGCATATATTTCTTCCTGAGCTTCTTCCTCTTTGGTTGTTGTCTAAGGTCATAAGTTTCTTCTTCCAGTGAAATAATGCATCTTTAGGGTTGGACAACTGTTTGCATATTCCATTTGTTGATAACCTAAGAAATATTGTTAAATCTTTAGTTAGGAAGACTTTATGGATAGAATGTTTGTTTCTTTTCAAAAGCCTAAGAGTACAATTGCTAGGTCATAGGAAATGCTCTAGACTAGGAGGGCGTGTTAGAAGTGTATGGTAGTAGAAGCGAGCTATGGGTTCTCAAATTGAAGAAAGTATCATGCTCTACATTCATGGTAATACAAAGGAGGGATGGGGAGCACATATCTAGAAAACCAGCTACCCATAAGCCTGTATTCTACCTGACAATATGTTACTCTCCTCAGTCCAGTCTCCCTTTAATACTTCATTGTAGGCTAGCTATAATCTTAGCTGCCAGATATTCTTACAGAAGCAGGCTGTGCAAACAGATGCATTATTCAACAATAGTCTAGCATAATTTCAGCTACAAAGATGAGCACAAAAAGGAAATTACTAAACATTTGAGGAAAACCCAACAATGAAGGAAGAGTACTAAACTCAATAAAACCAAGAACTTGAAGAAACAGAACAAACAAAATAGGCTTCGAATAAGTGGAATATAAAAGAGATGCAAGAGCAGATTGATTTTATAAAAATCAACTAAAATTCGCCGAGACCGGTTTGGCTCAATGGATAGAGCAGCGGCTTGGGGACTGAAGGGTCCCGGGTTCGATTCCGGTCAAGGGCATGTACCTTAGTTGTAGGGGGTGTGCAAGAGGCAGCTGATCGATGACTTTCTCTCATCGATGTTTCTAACTATCTCTCTCCCTTCCTCTCTGTAAAAAATCAATAAAATATATTTTTTTTTAAAAATCAACTAAAATTCTTATTGGTAAAATTAAAAACTCAATAAATGGGCAGAAAAAGTGTCTTCATTTCTGTAATATCAAGTGGAGGAATCTTCCCAGAATGTGGTGTAAAAGACCAAAACAGAAAATGTGGGGAAAGAGTTTTTATATAGCCCTAGCTGGCTCCGTTGGTTGGAGTGTTATGCCATGCACTAAAGGGTGTCAGGTTTGATTCTTAGTCAGAGCACATACCTGGGTTTTGGGTTTGATCCCCAAGACAGGATGTGTAGAAGAGGCAACTACTAATCTCTCCCTCTCCCTCTTCCTCTTTCCCTCCCCGCTCCCCCATTTCTCTCCCCTATTCCCCCTACCTCTCCTTCCTCCTTCCTCCCTCTGTCTAAAATAAGTGAGTATTAAAAAACATTAAAGATAAATTACTTGAAGAATAGAACTAGAATGTATAACTTCCACACAATGAAACAAAGCCACTAACAGCATACATAGAAAACTTGTCAAACAAAAGGCAGGAGGGAACAGCTTTGCACTATTTACAAGTGATAAACCTAAAACAAAATGACTTAAGTTCTACCACCAGTGTAAAGTCAATTGAAAGAAATACTTGTCCATCTTCTAGCACTGTTTCTCATTTTTAAATTTTTCTCATAGTTCTTTCTAAATGTCCTATCACAAAGACACACAGAGATTCAATGAAAGGCAATGCAAGAAAGATAGGAACTAAAATCATAAAGGGACTTTACATGTCAGAATGAGGACTTGCATTGTAATTTGTATTTGTTTTGAGAATTATTGAAATGATTGAAATTATCTTAAGGGAAGTGAGGGTAAGAGCAAGTGATAACAGAATAAAACAAATTAAAAGGAGGCTCTTACAGTGTATGGGCAGGTTGAGATCTTTATCAGGAGATCAGTGATGTGAGCATATAGAATATACAAGAATATATAGAATATAAAGCTTTCACACCTTAATATCAAATAAAGACTTTAAAATGATGCTATCTCATAATTTAATTGAAAACATTTTTCATCTTTTTTTTGATACATAAAACAGTCCTTTAAAATACTTATGTAGGTAGCCCCCATCTAGTTGCTATATAGAATACTTGCTGCTGTATTAATGAATTACTTAATTAAAGCGAATTAGTTCTTCAAATCCTATATAATAGAAGGCTAATATGCAAATTGTCCCTTCTACTGGGAGTTCAACCAGAGGGGGGGGCCAGCCTACCAACTGCCCACTGCCCCTCCCCCCAGCTAGACCCCACCCATGCACGAATTTGTGCACTGGGCCTCTAGAAAGTAAAATAAAATACTTGTACAGATATAAAGATAAGTTATGTGCAAATACATGAGTTAGTATGCACAGATAAAATTTATTATGTTCTCTTAGAGACTAGAAACAGTGGCATGACTCTCATGTAGCAGTGAGCACACCTGACTTCAAACTATCAGCCACTCTGCAATTAAAGATTCCAAGGCTCTTTGAAGACCTGGTTAATTCCAGAACCGGTGTAGGGAAAATATGAGATAAACCGCAGCATATTGTGGTGTCAGATATTAAGGAAGTGCTCAAAAGTATAAGGACATAGTGAAAGGGGCACAGGAATTGAACTTAAAAGTGCTCCCATTGGATAAAGTTGAAATAGTTTGAACAACAAAATAAAACAGTAGCCGAAACTGGTTTGGCTCAGTGGTAGAGCGTCAGTCTGCAGACTGAAAGGTCCCGGGTTCGATTCCGGTCAAGGGCATGTACCTTGGTTGCGAGCACATCCCCAGTAAGGGGTGTGCAAGAGGCAGCTGGTCAATGTTTCTCTCTCATCGATGTTTCTAGCTCTCTATCTCTCTCCCTTCCTCTCTGTAAAAAATCAATAATATATATATATATATATTTTTAAAGAGCATTTGTGTGTGTGTGTGTGTGTGTGTGTGTGTGTATATATATATATATATATATATATATATATATATATAAAATGAAACAGTAGTGTATATTATAGCCAAAATAAATATCCATGAGCACATTATGAAAAATAACAGTAAACAAATATATGGGAAAGATGTGATAGCTCTCCCTTAAAGAATTCCAATTAATACATGTTGAAGAAACAGGGGGACTAGAAAATCACTATTAGAATATCATAATGATTGTTGACCATTCATTCATGCATGCTAAAAATTATGACAAACTTTCAGTAGAAGCAGATTAGTAATTAGGAAGGAAGAATGCTTTTGTAGTGGGTGTTGGCAGACACCAAATTAGCCAAGTGGTCAATGATATATAAGTATATACCAATGATACATACTGATGTACTGTGCTCCTTACTATGATGTATTGAAAGAGCATGTCACCTCTGTATCCTGTCCAGTAATGCATAACCTCAAGCAGATCATGAGAAAACATCAGACAAACCAAAGTTGAGGGACATTTTAAAGAGTAAATATCTGTGTCTTCAGAGGTTTCAAGGTTATGAAAGATAAAGACAGACATAGGAAATGTAACAGATTAGAGAAATTAAGTTGGGAAACATGACACCTATATGCAATAATAAGATCCTACATTGGATTTCAAAACAGTGATCAGGGGCCATTGGTGGAAAAAATGATAAAATCTTAATATATTGTTCATTAATCGATGATGTGATAATGAGGTTTATTTCTTTTGATAATTTTTCTAAGCTAATGGAAGATGTTAGCATGAAGGAATGCTGATTGAGGGTTTTGCAAAAACTATATTAAAATTATCTCAGAAACAATATTTTTAAAATGATTTTAAGGTGGATAGCATCTTAAATTCAATGAAGTACAATATATAGGTTTTCAAGGGAAAATGCAAAAAAAAAAGATGCTAATAATAAAAATGGAAGAAGCAATTCATGTAGCAATAACTTGGGGCTTTGGTTGGCAAACGGCGGCTCTCTAGCCACATGCAGCTTTTGGCCCCTTGAGTATGGCTCTTCCAAAAAATACCACAGCCCTGGGTGAGTCTATTTTGAAGGAGTGGTGTTAGAAGAAGTTTAAGTTTAAAACATTTGGCTTTCAAATTTCAACCTTTGTACTGTTAATATAGTTGGCTCTGTTGACTAATGAGTTTGCCGACCACTGACCTGGGGGATGGTATCAAGAGCACTGTTGAGTTAATGCCACAAAGGAGTATTCCTTGTTTTCTCTAAGGGTGAGCAGTAGGGAGTGAGAGAAAACAAATTTAGAGGTGCAAAGTGGAACAATTGAGAGAAAGATGACCCGACATCAATAAGGATTGCTGAGATGGCTGTGCAGCTGTGTCTATAGGGGTTGTTTAGCCACTGTTACCAATAGTATTAAGTACATTATAATGAGACCTGCTGCTTTTTCAAATTGCATTGGTGCTAAGCCATTTTAAAAAGCTGTTGAGATAAAATTGTGAAATTGTAGGAAAATAGAAAATTAAAGTCTAGTCAACATACTTGTTAAATCTGTGTTAAACTATGTAGATGACTAGTGCATGGAGAGTAAAAGTGATTTCCTTCAATAATCAGATTCTAACTGAAAATCTTGTGTATTAATCGAATATTTATGCTGACACTTATCTCAGACATTTCCATTCTCAGCATTTACTCAATTCTGTTATATCTGTAGTTGTCAGCAAATGTTCTTTAGTTATTTCATGAATTTTCTACTTATTTTAAAAATTGTCATTTGGGGCATATAGGAAATATATCTTTCTGTATGTTTTAGACAAAAGTTAGGTAAAAGTTCCCATTAAGCATATGTGAAATGAATACTGACAAAGGTATATGCAGATTAAATTTTGTTATATAATGCTTATAAATAAAGGGAGAAAAATAATAGGTTAAAACAATATAAAATTGCTAATATTTGATCATTTTTGTCTATAAACAAGCAATTTCATGCAATTAAAAAAGTGACAATAGTTAGCTATTGATTTATAAATACTTTCAGAGTTGAATACCAATTTTATTTTCATTATTTTTAAAAAATGTATATGTAATAAGCTGATGGTTGCCAGAGAGGAAGGGAGTAAAGTAAAATAGAGGGCAAAAAAGGTAAAGGAGAATAAGAAATACAAATTTCCAATTTTAAAATCAGATCACGGGAATGTAATGTATAGCAACAGGGAATATAGTCAATATTGTGATAGCTTTGTACGTTGTCAAATGGTTACTGTAAACTTATGGTAACAATTTCTTTAAGTGTTTAAATGTTGAATAACTTGTGCACCTGAAATAAGATAACATTGTATATTAACTATATTTTAATTTTAAAACATTTTATTTACATTGTAAGTTTTTATAGGTGATGGGGAACTATAGCAATTATTTAATACTCAAGCTTACCTTAGCATAAATTACTGATGGATTTTAAAAAGAGGCAATACAGAAACCTGATAGTGACCTTTCTTATATTTGCTGTTAACAGTCCTCCTGTCAGACGCCAGAGAGGAAGAAGGGATCGACTGTCTCGACATAATTCCATTAGTCAAGATGAAAATTATCACCATCTCCCGTATGCACAGCAGCAAGCAATAGAGGAACCTCGAGCCTTCCACCCTCCGAATGTATCCCCCCGTCTGTTACACCCTGCTGCTCATCCACCCCAGCAGAATGCAGTAATGGTTGACATACATGATCAGGTATCCTATTTAATAGGAGAAGAATATGCTAACTGCCTGTTACACCCTGAGGCGTAATGACCAACCGAATTACGACCAGATCATGGATCTGCAGGAGGGTGGGGCAGCAAACTACAAGCCAAGCGGGCAGTGGAAAGCTACAAGAAGGGGCAGGGCAGCAAGCTATGAGGGGGGAGGGGAAAAGGGGAGGTCCAGGAGGGTGGGGCAGCGGATGTAGAGCTATAGGAGGGCGGCAGCAACCTACTGCTGCACAGATTCAAACACAGGGCTATTAGTAATGACAGAATGTCCAAGAAATACAGATGCTAAAAGTTGGTGGCAGTTTATTGAAGTTATTTGTATTTTATTGTAAATTTTTTTCAGTTTTATCTAAAAGGAAACAGTTTTACCTAATAAGCAATTTTAGACAAGTTCATTATCTGTAATAATAAAAGTATAATATGCTAATTAGATCGGACGTCCTTCCAGACAACCTTCCGGATGAAGATAGGCTACAAGGGAAGCCTGGGTCCCAGACACCAGGTCCTGGATGTCGGAGGGAAGCCTGTGTCTTAGGTGACAGAGGGAAGCCAGTGCCAGCAGCCAGGGAAAGGAAGGCTAACTCTTGCATGAACTTGGTGCATTGGGCCTCTAACTATATATGTCTACCAGCTATGATGCACACTGACCACCAGGGGGCAGACGCTCGATGCAGGAGCTGCCCCCTGGTCGTCAGTGTGCTCCCACAGCGGGAGCACTGCTCAGCTGACCAGTGGGCACCAGATGCAGGGCTCATGGCTGATGAGCCTACCGGCTGCCTTTGCAATTCAATCCCTGCAGGTAACACCAAGGGACCACACCAGTTCCTGAATCTGTGCACTGGGCCTCTAATTTTTTATAAGTATTGAAATGTAAATTCTACATAGCTTCCCTCAGAAGAAAGTTCTACTTTAAAAAATTAGGATCAAAATGCTTTGGAAATTTGATAAAATTGTGAGCTTGGTTAAGAAACAAAGGACAAATGTAAAGAAGATTAGGAATAATTAAAAGACATATATCCACACATGGGAAACATTCAAAGAATTTTGTTCAGTTGTAAAATGAAAATAGCACCTATTTCATAAGGGATGTTGGAGGGAATTAAGAGTTAATCCATTTTGAGCACTTCAACTAGTACAAGTATATTGTACTCAAGTATATTACTTCATTACTAACTATGGTAATGAAATTCTAAATATAACCCGGGGGTAGTGAGGGGAGGAGAGACAAAAAAAAACGTAAAGGAAGTTCAAAAATTGACTCAAGAATAATGGGAAAATTGGAATTACCACAGTAGTGTGAAGGCTAATTAGAGATTACCATTAAAAAGGCACAGTGACCAGATGGCTTCACAGCTGTTTTCTCTAATCTTCAAGAAACACTTATTTTAATAATATTTAAATTATTCCAGGCCTTTTTTTTTTTAAGGTTATTTTTGTAATGATTTTATGGAGCCAGCATAATTCTAATACTAAAAGCAAGTAAAAGTGGGAATCCCCTCAAAAAATAGAAAGAACCCTCAAATACATAGGACTTTCTCAAAAGACATTTAGAAAACACAATCTACCAATGTATCAAAAGAATAATAACCTATGAAAAAATAAGATTTATTCCCAAGAGAGGATAATTTAATATGAAAATACATTATATCAACAAGTAAGAGAAGGAAAACCATACATGAATGATTATATCAAAATATCTTGAAGAGTCAGTTAAATACCGTGTTTCCCCGAAAATAAGACATCCTCCGAAAATAAGTCCTAGCGCATGGAAAGATAAGAAATCCCCTGAAAATAAGACCTAGCACAACTTTGGGAGAAAAAAATTAATATAAGACACTGTCTTATTTTCGGGAAAACAGGGTAGTAATAAAAACTGATAGTCGGTTTATTGACTAAATGGTCACAGATTCCATTCTGGTCAAGGGCATGTACCTCTTACCTTGTACCTCAGTGTACCTCAGTTGCATGCTCAATCCTCAGCCCTGATATGTCTCACATCAGTGTTTCTCTCTGTCTCCCTCCCTCTGCTCTCTAAAAATCAGTGGGGAAAAAAGTCCTCAACAAAATTCCAGCAAATTGGCTCTAGCAGTACATCAGAAAGATCATACACCATGACTAAGTAGGATTTATCCCAGGCTTGCAAGGATGGTACAATATCCGCAAATCGATAAATGTGATACATCATATAAACAAATTGAGAGATAAAAATCACAGTCATATCAATTGATGCAGAAAAAGCATTTGACAAAATCCAACACCCTTTCCTGATAAAAACTCTAAACAAGTGGGAAAGAAGGATCATACCTCAACATAATAAAAGCTATATATGATAATCCCACAGCAAACATCATACGTAATGAGCAAAAACTAAAACCATTTTCTCTTAAGAACAGGAACAAGACAGGGATGCCTACTCTCATCACTCCTGTTTGACATAGTACTGGAGGTATTAACCATTGCAATTAGACAAGAAGAAGAAATAAAAGGCATCCAAATGGGAAAAGAAGAAGTAAAGTTGTCCTTATTCACAGATGACGTGATATTGTACATAAAAAAAATGAAAGACTCCACAAAAAAACAAATAGACTTAATAAATGAATTTGACAATGTAGCAGGATACAAAATTAACACCAAGAAATCTATGGCCTTTCTATACACCAATGATGAACTTACAGAAAGAGAGACTAAAAAAGCAATTCTATTTACCATTGCACCAAAAAAATTAAGATATCTAGGAATTTAAAATATTCCAGATCATAGTAAAAGAAGTCTTCCAAGTATATTTAATGAAGCTTGCATAACCTTAATAATGAAACCTTGAAGACAATACAACAAAATTATCAACTAGTTTCCCTTTTGAATACAGATGCAGATGTTTTAAATAGTAAATTGAAGCTAGTGATCTAAAAGAATCTATTAAAATTATTGAAAGAATTAATGTTAGCATTTATTCTGGAAATAAGTTCAATATTAGGATAAGTTCAGGATAAGTTCAATATTAGGAAGTCTTTCAAGGTAATTCCAATGTAACAAAAATATTTTGTTAATAAATGCAAAGAAATATAAAATGTAGCCATCATCCTATATAATAAAAGCCTAATATGCTAAGGGTCTGGTCATCTATTCAATTAATCAAAGCGTAATATGCTAATGATATGCTAAGGCTGGCTATGATGTGCACTGATGACCAGGGGACAAACAGTTGACCAGTCAATTAGTTGTTGTGACAGGCACTGACCACCAGGGGGCAGACGTTTCAACCAGTAGGTTAGCTTGCTGCTGGGGTCCAGCTGATCCGGACTGAGTGAAATAGGCTATGGTACTCTCCCCCCTCCTCCCCAGCTGACTAACCACCTGCATCTCTCCCCAGCCCTGATCATGAACTGGTGGGGTCCTTCGGCCTGGCCTGCACCCTAATTAATAAATAATAAAAGAATAAACTTTCACTTACAACTATAAACTTAATTTTTGTAGGAAACTACAAAAACTGCACTTAAACTGCATTCAGATTAAATAGAAGATAGTGATAGAAAAAAATTGTTTTTTAAAAAAATTGGAACATTTTTTTGTTGTTGTTGAAAGTATTATAGGTGTCCTTGTTTGTTTGTTTGTTTCCCATTAACACCCTGCACCCGTCCTTCCCAGGCCTTCACCACTCTATTGTCTTTGTCCATATCTATAATAATAAAAGTGTAATATGCTAATTAGACCAGACAGCCAGATGATCTTCCACACAAAGCCTAGGCTGCCAGGGCCAAGCCCCTTACACAAATTTTGTGCATTGGGCCTCTGGTATGCATATAAGTTCCCTGGTTTTCATTAAATAATTTAATGGTGGGATTTTTTTTTTTTTACACATGACAAGCAATAGGTGCTTATTTCATTTTTAAAAATTAAGTTTTATATTTTATTGAATTTATTGAGGTAACATTGATTCACAAAATCATACAGGTTTCACATGTACAACTCAATAAAACATCATCTGCACACTGCATTGTATACCTACCACCCAGGGCAATACATTATCCTTTTACCCAGTAATACCTCTGAAACAAACAAAAGCTACTAATATGTAAGGATATATATACCTTATTCAATGACATTTTTTACAACTAGAGGCCCAGTCGTGCACTAGTACGGTTCCTAGCAGCTGCAGACTGCCACCACCACTGGCTGGGGCTTGCCTCCCTTCCCTCGGGAGGCCCACCATCTTGGTCGAACTCCCAGAAGAACTCAAGTCGAGTGACAATTTGCATGCTATGCTTTTATCATATAAGGTAGGATTATATTGGTATTGGCAAGAGTGAAAAATAGAATGACCATTAAAATAGGAATGATAGGATTGTGTTAAGTAAATTTACGTACTTGAAATATCCGGCTAGTATCAAAAAGAGTGATTGCATTTAATTCTGAAGAGATATTTAGAATATTAACTGAAAAATAACTTGCAGGCCGAAGCCGGTTTGGCTCAGTGGTAGAGCGTCGGTCTGCAGACTGAAAAGTCCCGGGTTCGATTCTGGTCAAGGGCATGTACCTTGGTTGCGGGCGCATCCCAGGTGGGGGGTGTGCAAGAGGCAGCTGGTAGATGTTTCTCTTTCATTGACGTTTCTAGCTCTCTATGTCTTTCCCTTTCTCTCTGTAAAAAATCAATAAAATATATTATAAAAAAAAAAAAAGAGGCAGCTGGTCGATGTTTCTCTCTCATCGACGTTTCTAGCTCTCTATCTCTCCCTTTCTCTCTATTAAAAATCAATAAAATATATTTTAAAGAAAGGAAGGAAGGAAGGAAGGAAGGAAGGAAGGAAGGAAGGAAGGAAGGAAGGAAGGAAGAAAGATAAGTTGCAGGGTAATATCTCATTTCTATTAAAAGAACCAACATGACAATAATTTGTGAGTAATCATGCTTGTATATGTTTGTATGCTTAAGGAGAAAGATGCAGAGTATGTTATTAACATTGTCATACGACAGGTAGCATGAGAATAAGACTGACCAAAAGAGAAAGAAATTATTTAACTTTTTAAAAATACTATTCTTCATTGTTTCACTAGTTGCAATTAAACAAAAAAATTTTTCCTGTTGGATGTGGCCAGATATTAGAAGATAGAAGCAGTCATTTCCCCAGATTTTCTCTTTAGAAAAGTTTTCAGCAGCCTAGAAGAGTTAATATAGCATTTCATTTTTTTCTTGGATTTTTCATGATAGCTTTTTGGGAGAAGAGTTTAGTCCCAGTTCTGTGGGCATCATAAACTGCTTTTGAAAAAGACAGCTTTTCTATCCAATGACAAATAATAGTTTAGTTGAAACTGTTGGAGAAGTACATTATGAAAATCTGTGCCCCTGAGGAGAATCAATAAATGACCAGATTTTTATTTTTAATATTTGATGTTTTACTCAGTTAAAATTCTAACATTTTGCTATTTTTTCCTAATAGCTCCATCAGGGCACCGTCCCTGTGTCTTATACAGTAACAACAGTGGCACCTCATGGGATTCCACTCTGCACAGGCCAGCACATCCCTGCATGCAGTACACAACAGGTCCCAGGATGCTCTGTGGTTTTCAGTGGACAGCACCTCCCTGTCTGTAGTGTGCCTCCTCCAGTAAGTTTGTGCACTCCCTCTTTAGAATGGCTAAGTGTGTTATAGAAGAAAACAAAATCTAAGAGACTGCCTTCTGTAGCTTTTCACGCCCAACTAAAAAAAGGCTATTTTATTGCAGTGTCTGTCTTAACAGTCTTGTTATAGTAACAATTTAATAAATTAGCTTTAAAATGTGGTATGTTTTTATATTAATTAAATTATACAGATTTGGATATCTCGAAGGTCAAAGCATGTTCCTTCATATATCAGCACAGTTTATAATTAAATCTTAATTTAGGTTGGCCTTGAATTAACATAGGATATCAGACTAGTTAATAATAAAGTCTAGTTAGTGATCAGCAGTAATAGTCTCAGCACTTACTGGGTTTTGACAGGTACTTTGAATGCTTGGTCTTTTTATTCCTCACTATAAGAAGCCTGTGATAAAAATGGTATTCCCTATTTTATAGATGATGAAATGAAAATGACGTGCTTAATAGAGACATTTAGTATGAGAGAATAGGGCTTTCCACCCACTTCTTTATGCCTCTTAAACTTAAACTTTATCTTTTAATCTACCATCCCCCATTCCTATCCCCACCCACAGTCCAGCCTCCTTATTTCACAAATAATATTGCTGAAATTCAAGGGATTTAAATGATCCATAGGGTCAATTATGTTTTCCAAGTAAAGTACTTCACTAAATCTATTAATATAACCCTAAACCATTTTTGAATGTGAGATTAAAAGGAACACCTATATACAAATATCAAACCACTTTAACATTAATTTACCCAAGCTTGTTTCTCAACCATGGAAACAGTGTGCTAAGACGCAGACTTAAAATATTGACAGACCTTAAATCACTTAGTTGTGAGTTGGGCTTCTGTAAATAAAAAAATCTCAGAAATGAAAATTTCCAAAGAGAGCTTCTTGGAAAGCAGTATCTGCTGCATCTTAAATAAGAAGGAGATACCTCTGCTTTTCTCCCATTTCATACTTGTTAAGAAAACTAAAGTAGAAGTTGAGTGTTTTGACTAATTTGTAAGAATTGTATAAAATATAGACTAATGACTAGTTACCAATATTTTACTAATAGAGATAAACATACACTAGTATTTCATTGTTAATATAGGTTATTAAAACATTTTGGGCGACATGGCAATAACCTTTCTATCTCACGTATAGAGTTTTTTTTTGTTTGGTTTTTTTATGTATTCTGATACCTTCAACAACAAAAAATAACTATTTCTTTTACAGATGCTGCAAGCCTGTTCAGTTCAGCACTTACCAGTACCATATGCTGCATTCCCACCCCTTATTTCTAGTGATCCATTTCTTTTACATCCTCCTCACCTTTCTCCTCATCATCATCCTCATTTGCCACCACCAGGCCAGTTTGTCCCTTTCCAAACACAGCAATCACGATCGGTAGGTATTTCTACTTTTATGTCTTTAATATTCACACAATGTTTAAACCTAAAAGATATATTAATTTAGTAGATGTAAATTGTAACCACTTAAAAATTATAACTTGGGCATTCTTCTGGTTCTTTTTTTCTTTATTGATTAAGGTATTAACATATGTGTCCTTAAGTCTCCCCTCCCCCAACCCACACTCATGCCTTAACCCCCCGTTGGTGTCTGTATCTGTGGTTATGCTTATATGCATATATACATGTCCTTTGGTTGATCTCTTCCCCCTTAACATTCTTCTGGTTCTTAAACGAATTAAGAACTTCAAAGACATACAGATAAATGAACCAAGAATTACTTTCGTTTCTTAAATTTTTCTAGTTATTTTATGTCACTTATCGGATTTAAATTTGTTCCTTCCTATCTATAATCTTTCATGAAGTAAATGTGAAGAAAAAGTCAATTTTCTTGTTTTTTTTTTTCTTTTATGTATTTCTAAAATGGAAAATGGAAATATTATAAAATGGTTTATACTTGTTAGAATAATATTCACTTATGCAAGTAAAATAACCCTTTGAGCCTCAATTGGTTTTATTGGAGGCTTGTTTTTCTATTGTGTTCTCACAAAAAGATAGATGAGATAGTCTGTTAACATAGATAATTATACCCGTGGACTGGAATATAACTGAGAGGCATATTATTTTAGGGATCTGGGAGAGGTTAAAACTGTATAAGTAGAAGGAAGGGCACAGGAAAAGGACCACTTATGTTTTGGACAGACCAAGTTGAACATCTGAATCATCATGCATTAAGAAAGTAGGAAAGAGAACATGGAAATGATCAGAGTGGAAGATGTTAGCCTTGTGAAAGGAACCGCAGCATTATTCCTATTAGCTAACAAATAGAAACAGTGCAAATGTTTATCAAGTGATAACGAATAAGCAAATATGGTGTGTCTATACAGTGGATTATAATTCAACGAAAAAAGGAGTGAGGTATGATACACAAACTATAAGATGGATAAACCTTGAAAACATTATGCTAAATGAAAGAAGCCAAATACCAGGGCCACAATATTATGTAACTCAGTATATATGAAATGTCCAGAATAGAAAAACCTATAGAAATGAAGGAAGATTAATGGTTGTCCAGAACCTTGGGGAGGATTGAGGAGAAATGGGTAGTAGACCTGACTACTAATGGGCATGGGTTGTGTTTGTTGTTGTTATTGTTGTTGTTGTTGTTGTTTGGGGGGAGAAGTGGGTAGGAATGTTCTGAAATTAGTTTGTGGTGAATATTCAAAAATGACTTGTACTCCCCCTTACTTATGGTGAATTTTTAGTATGTGAATTATATCTCAGCTATTTTTTTTAATCCCACATGCTATTGCACTATGTGTTCTATGTGTTACTTATAATTGTCTCAGTGTTTACAACACACTTTTGAAATAGGCTATGGATGTGTCAGTTCTATAGATGACAATATTTAAGTTCCGATTAAGTAATTTAAACACTGAGTGACCAGATTACTGTGATCTCTGAACCCATAATTATCTGGCTACTCTGTGTATATATAATAAAAAGCTAATATGCAAATTGTCCCTTCGACCACCAGGCAGGCCAGCCAACCGTCCGTGTCCCCTCCCCCTGGCCAGGCTGGTCAGACCCCACCAATGCCCGAGTTCATGCACCAGGCCTATAATACGCACACACACACACACACACACACACACACACACACACACACACGTGGCCAGATTATTATGCGTTCAGAGATCATCATAATCTGGCCACTCAGTGTATAAGTCACATTGATTAGTGACAATGACAAGAATCTAATGCCAAAGCCCGTAAGCTTTCTACTGCAGCGTAATGCCTATTGTCTTATGTCATTTAGCTCTGGTTTTGATTTATAAATAGATATACATCATGTTCAATTTCATGTTAAGGGTTAAGTGTCTGAAAAGCCTGTGAGTAGTAGGTCATTGTATCTTATGTGTTGTAATTTTAGCCATGCAATTGGCTTACTATATGACTTTTTGCCTTTTCTTCTCTTAAGAGAAGATTGAATTAGTAAAATAAATATATCTTTTAATTGATATGTTTAGTCAATTAAATGGAAATGCTTAATGACATTTCAAAAACTTTCTTATTGAAATTCAATTAAAAGCAGGAAGATTTTACTATATATGTCACATGTATGAATTTAGGTTCATGTGAACATCAAGATTCATATGACTTTAAAAATATTGGGGGGGGGTGATTTTTATTATTATACCATCGTATCTAAACACTGGAAGTACATTAGTATGTTTTTGTCCCCTCAGCCTCTGCAAAGGATAGAAAATGAAGTGGAACTCTTAGGAGAACATCTTCCCGTAGGAGGTTTTACTTATCCTTCCTCGGCCCATCCCCCAACATTACCTCCATCAGCTCCTTTGCAATTCTTAACACATGATCCTTTGCATCAAGAGGTGTCCTTTGGAGTAGTAAGTTTTCATTCAGTTTTGTTACTTGCTTTGATAACTAGTTTTGAGTTGTTTCAATGTAACTCTACATGTTTAGAATTTTGAATGTATTATTGAAATCATTGATGTTGGAAAAGTATATTTAGAAATATATATGCTTTAAACTAGTCATTGCACCTTTGTAAACATTTAAGAAATATTAAATACTACTTGAATAGTAAAGAACTTTATAGGTTGTTGTTGTTTTTAAGAGACTTTGACATTAAATATTTATAAAGGTAGAGTGATCTTAAATTGCTTAAACATTTTTTCTCCTACAGCCTTATCCTCCATTTATGCCTCGGAGGCTCACAGGACGAAGTAGATACCGATCCCAGCAACCAATACCACCTCCCCCTTATCATCCCAGCTTACTACCATATGTGTTGTAAGTTCTTTCTTATTTTAATGATTTCTAAATTTGGCATTCTTGAGAGTCTCTTCCTTTTATGAAGATCTTCTATGTGATGTATCATTTAGAGTATTAAATATTTGTATTTAATGTTAGTGGTTGGGGTATGGGGATATTTAAGGGTGAAAGAGAAGAGTCAATGACAAAGGAGAAGTGGGGGAAGAAGAAATTTTGAGCCATAAAATAGATTTACCAAATCTAAAGGTAGGAAAGTTAAAATTTTTGCTACTTTTAGTATTGGCATCACTTGCCATCTTCTTTCATTATCCAGCTTTTGAAGCTGTTATGTCTATTTCTTATAAATACTCTTGTTAAAGGTCCTGGCTGATTAGAGCATCATCCCAGTATCCCAAGGTTGCAGTTTAGATCCCCAGTCAGAACACATAAAAGAAGCAACCAATAAATGCATAAGTGAATGAATCAACAATTCCATGTTTTTTTAATTTAAAAAAAAAAAGAAAGAAAGGAATATAAATACTTGGTTAGAATTATGATTGTAGCAGAAGCACTCATGGGTTAAATATATATTTATTTCTCTCTCATGTAATGAAGTCCAGAAGTAGACAATTCAGATATGATTTTTCTCCCAATATATTTTATTGATTTTTTACAGAGAAGAAGGGAGAGGGAGAGAGAGTTAGAAACATCGATGAGAGAGAAACATCAATCAGCTGCCTCCTGCACATCTCCTACTGGATTGTGCCCACAACCTAGATACATGCCCTTGACTGGAATTGAACCTGGGACCCTTGAGTCCGCAGGCAGATGCTCTATCCACTGAGCCAAACCGGTTAGGGCCAGATATGATTTATTTAGCTCCATAACTCTGAGGAATGGTTCTGCCATCCGATGGCTTCCTCTAAAATGGCTGCTCAGGTTCCAACTATTAATTCAGCATTCCATCCAGTAAAAATGAAAGTAGATCTCTCTGCCTCCCTGCCTCCCCTCAGTATTACTTCCTAGAAGTTCCATGTGTTATTCCTGCCAAAATCCATGGGCCAGAATGTAGTCTTATGGTCTATTACCTGCTAGGAAAGCTAGGAAATGTCTTTAAGGCCATGTGCCTATTTTATACTATTTTGATCATTGTAGCTCTATTGTAAGTCTTAAATCGGATAGGATAAGTCTCCCAACTTAATTCGAAAATGACTTAAAGTCTTTTGTGTGAGCCATATAAATTTTTTAATCAAATTAGTTTCTATTTGAAAAAAGGCTTGCTGAGGATTTTGGTAGGGATTGCATGAAATCTATAGATCAGTTGGGGAGAAAATTGACATCTTAATATTGACTCGTCTGGTCAGTTAACTTACACAGTATATCTCTCTATTCTTTTTAAGTTTATTCTTACAGCATTTTTGCAGTTTTTATTATGTAGGTGTTGCATATGTTTTGTTGAATTCCAAATATTTTATGTGATTTTATGCTATTATGAATGATATTTTTTAAGTGTCAGTTTTTGTTTATTGTTAGTGAAGGCAGTTGTTTTTTTTTTTTTTAAGGGTTGCTACTGATTAACCCCAGCCATTTGTCCCTATAGCATTGGTTTTGTTTTTCCTGTTAACTGAAGTAATATAGTAATGTATCAATGCTAGTGTTGGTTATTTTCACTGCAGATCAATGCTTCCAGTGCCACCTGCAGTAGGCCCAACTTTCAGCTTTGAATTGGATGTGGAAGATGGAGAAGTAGAAAATTATGAGGTGAGTAGGTGACCTTGAATTAAATTGGAGAATATTGTGTGCATAAAAAGCACCGTATAATTCTCAACTCATTCATCTAATTAAACATTATTAAGTAAATCTGTTGTACATTTCAAGATACAAATATGTTTGAAAAAAGTGTTCAGCATCCTTAAGGATATTTTGTCATGTGCCACACAGCTCTGATAAAGAGACAGACAGGTACTCTATTAGAGTTACATACAACTCCTATGAGAGAATGTAAATGAGAAAAACGTGAATTATAAATTGATGTTCTCAAAGATTTTGTGGAAGCCAGAAGTGTTTGAGTTGATTCTTGAAGGATGGGAAAACTTTTTCGTGCATAAGGTTGAAGGAGGAAAGTGCTGGATATTCTTGAGGAATTGCATACAGCCTGTGGCTAATGTGAGATTTGATTAGAAAGCTTAACTGGTTGTCCTTGAGTTTCCTGCTAGAGAATGGACAGAATTTTGAATATTATGGGATGAAGGAACTGCTACATTTTTTGGTGCTAATGGATCTATAGTTTTATGAGTCAAAACTCTGCTAGGAGCATGAAGGAATAGATAGGAGTGGTTAAGAAGTTTGTGGTGGGGAAACCTATTTAATAGGTCAGGCAATAAATTATAAAATCATGCAAGTTCTGAACTATAGGAACTGCAGTTAGAAACGAGTACATCTTCAGAGACTTTTTTTAACATTTGAATCAACAGTCAAGTTAGGGGTGTGAGTGGGAGGGTTGCAAAAGAAGATGCTCTACAAAAACTAGTAACTCATATAGAAGGAAGAAGATGACAGTAGGTCAAGTAGATGACATAATCTAATTTAGATGATGTTGATGTTACAGTATTTGAAGTTAGGGATAGGAGGTGCAGTTTAGGGGTTGGAAGGCAAATTCGGATTTGGTTATGTTGAATGTGAGTGACTGTATGTATGACTTGGTTTTGATACTGCCAGCTATCTTTCTCACCCCAGCCTCACTTAGTTTCTATTTATACAGTATGAATACAGATGCTCCTTGGCTTATGATGGGGTTACGTCCTGATAAATCCATTGTAAGTTGAAAATATCATAAATTGAAATGCATTTAACCTACTGAACATCATAGCTTAGCCTACATGGTTTCTAATGAATGCATGTCGCTTTTGCACCATTGTGAAGTGGAAAAATCGTAAGCCAAACCATCGTTAATTGGGACATCTGTGCTGGAACACTTTTCCTTTTTTTTTTCTTTTCTTTTTTTTTAAGGTAAACTGAACCTGGGGAGAGGGAGGAGAGATCTCACACACACAAACAATCTTAAAGCATCTTTGTTTTATTTTTTAAATGCATGTGGACGAGATCAGGCCAAATGTTATATTCTTCTGTAGTTTCAGAATGCCATTATATCACTTTCTGTCTATATAATCACATTGCCTGTCCTTTGGCTTCCATTCCCAGATTCTTAAGGAAGGGGCTGTAATAATTTCCTGGTTTTGTTTCTAGAACACTCTTTATGTCAGTTTTGTACAGAGCTGTAGGGAAAGAAGTTGGTCCTCTTTTAGACATTCTTTTAGGCACTGAAAATGAGTTTTCTTTCATGCTACTGGAAGGACAGCTTTTCATTAAACAAATTATATATGGAAAAACAGTGATACTATCCCAGTGTAGGGAAAATATTTTGTATTTTTAATAGCATTGGAATCCTTTCTAGACTGTATTTTGGATTGAATATGTTTGATCTTCTGCAAAGTCACGTTTTAATTCAATCAAGAAAATCTTGTTTGCTTTTCTGGTTTTATCTCAATAGTGTGCACACCTACAACACGCCCTAGTCCAGAGTACTCATCGTTTTTTAGTCTACCCTATATATCTTGCCTATATGCTTTTACTCCCCTTGATCCTTCTGCCCAGTTATTTTCCCCCCTTCCTCTACATTTTGAAACTTCTATGAAAGGCATTTCTAGTCCATTATCAGATCTAAATGTCTCCCTCCTTTTTGTTCTTATAAAACCATATGTAATAATCATGTCGTGTCTTCAGTTATCTTGCCTGCTGGATCATATAAATTTGTTGAGGGCTTGGTTATCATTGTATTCTTTTAATAAGGGCTTAATGAACATATTTTATGAATATAATTGTCATATTTGTGTTAGTTGACCTAAGTGTCCTATTATACAGGAGAGGTATAATAAATATAGATAAGCTATATCATAAATTTTATATGCTAATTGTAATCAGCACCAATTTAACAACTTACTAATCTAGCATTTAGAAGGACTTAGGGGCATTCATGTTGACAAAGGAGAAGCAATTTTAGATGACCCAATTCTTCAAATGAAGCTGTACCAAAATCAGTGTCGTGGTGTCATTATATTTTAAAGCAGCCATCACAGCGTTAGCTATTGAGATTTTTTCTTCTTTTAAATTATTTGTTCATCTCATCTTTCTTTGTTACCCATTTTGTTAACCCTGTGGCAGCCTTTAAAGGGGGAAAGCATCACACAAAGGGCTGCCTGATTTTAGAATAAAGCAAATTAATAATTAGAGCCATTGAAAACTGGGAGAAAGGAGGTACTTGTGTAAAACCAGTAAGCATAATTGCTATAATACATTGAAACATCAAATATGCTAGAATTCATTAATTCATAGTGATACTTAAACACACTCAGTGGTCTTATTCATCCTGCACTTTATATCTGATTTATACTAACTGAATGCAAATTGATATGGGACAGTTGCTCAGTATAGAAGTATTTCATCTAATAAATGAAGATAGAATGATAGAATTAAAATACTACCATTTTGCCATCTTTAATGAATAAATGGACCTCGGCAATGTTCCATCAGTGGCTGCTAACATAACAATTAGGTATGGTGAGCTATGATTGAAATACTCAAACCCACCAATTTATAGGAATTACAGGGGACAAGAAAACTCAAGTCAGGGTGGGGTGGATCATAAAATTCAGACTGAGAATTTCTACAGGCCATTGACCTATTTTCTTCAATAAATACAAAATTTTAAAAAGGTACTTGAGACAATATCAAGCAATGGGAATAGATGGATTTATTTGGATTATGATTTGAATAAACTATTTTTAAAAGTGTTTTGAAAGTAATTGAAACAGACATTTGACAAAGGATTATAAGGTGTGATGATGATGATGATGATGTTGATGTGATTTAATCCCTTTTAAAAAATCTTTCTTTTTAGGGTGGTGGTGTTCAACTTGGGGATAGTTTTATCCCCAAGAGGATATTTAGCAACATATGGAAACATTTTTTATTGTTACAACTGGGTGGGCGGTTGTTATGGCATTTAGCAGAGATGCTGCTAAACATCCTACAATGCACAGAACAGCCCCCCCTTCCCCCCCCCCCGCAATAAAAGTTTATCCAGCCCAAAATGTCAAAAGTGCTGAAGTTGACATACTGTCTTAAAGATACATACAGAACTGTTAATGAAATAACCATGTTTTAGTTTTATTTGAAAATTATCTGGTATTTAGAAGTAGATAGTAATAGGTGAAATAAAATTAGCCATGGATTGTTGAGCCTGGATAATGGGGATATGGAATTTCATTATACTGTACCCCTTCTTTAGTATATATTTAAATTTTTTCCACAATAAAAGTAATTTTTTTAAAAATTACTGCAATAGAAAAATTTAAAGAAAGTTAAAATATATTTCCTTTTCCATCAACAGGCCCTTTTAAACCTGGCAGAGCGACTAGGAGAAGCTAAGCCACGAGGATTGACTAAAGCAGATATTGAACAACTTCCTTCCTATCGGTTCAATCCTAACAACCACCAGTCAGAACAGACTTTGTAAGTACATTTTTTTGACATCACTCTGTTAAATTTTCTTTTCTACTTTTATGAAATAAAAGCATGAGAGCCATAGATATTATAACTTGATAAAGTAACCTCTATTTCATAATCTTGGCCTATGTTATCTAGTTAGATAGCAGCTAGTCACATGTGGCTGCTTAAATTAAATAAATTGAAAGTTAAATTTCTTAGTAACACTAGCTAGTGATGCTCTATTGAACGATTTAGAACATTTCTGTCACTTCAGAAAATTTTATTTGACTGTGCTGTTCTGGAATTTTAGGTTGCCCAAAAATTTTATGGTCTCTCATTCAAACTGCAATATTTTATATATGATTAAAGTCTCATAGATGTGAAGTTCAAAGTTTTTACTTAAAGAGTCTGCTTATTATCCTGTTAACCGGGGAATTCCTTTTTTAATTACACAACATGTAACGGGCGCGTACTCTTTCACTAGGACATGTCAGTACGTCACGCCTGGAGGACGTAATTTCATATTATTTTTTTTTTAATTTATACTTAATTAAAGTAAATGAACAGACTATGAAATATGTATTTTTTCATTTATTTATAAATAAAGCACAAAGGAAAATACAGAATTACAAACAAATAGAAAAGAATACCAACAAAAAAATGGAAACATCGAATTAAAAAATTATAAATTTTACAAACAATTATAAAGATTACAAATATATATATATATATATTTCAGGGCGCAACATATATTTCAAGGATGTATGCATATGTCCTACCTGTACCCGATATTGTTTATGTTTGACGTATTTATACGTCCTGCTCGGTTAACTACTTGTTTTTATGGTTAAATGACTTTTTTGCTTTTTTTAGGTGTGTAGTATGCATGTGTGATTTTGAGTCAAGGCAGCTACTTAGAGTTTTACCCTGTAACCACGAGTTCCATGCCAAGTGTGTCGACAAATGGCTTAAGGTAAAGTGATGGCATCTGAGAAGAGAATAACATTGAATTTTTTTTTTTTTATTGAGCATGGTTTCATGTAGAGTAAGTACATCATTGGTGGAGGGTGAGTAAGGAGGTAAGATATTTGAGTAACATATTTCAAATACAGCTTTCAATATGATTTCTAAAAATGAAGAGAAAAGGCCAGCAAAAATGAACTATAATCATCATCTTGGGAGTGATTTTGTAAAACCTGAAAAGTGATTATCTGTCTTTCATAATGACTACTAGAGGCCCCAGCCTGCACCCTCTCACAGTGCAGGATCCCTTGGGGGATGTCTGCCTGTCGGCCTATGCCCAATCCCTCCTTGCAGTCTGGGGCTCTCACAGTCTGGACCCCTCACTCCTTACCACCCACCTATAATGGCTCCGGCCACCGCCGCTGCACTCACCAGCCTTCTGGCTGAGCGGTGCTCCTGCATTGAGCATCTGCCTCTGGTGCTCAGTGCACATCATAACAACTGGTCGTTCCGCCATTTGGTCAATTTGCATATTAGGGTTTTATTATATAAGGCTGTCCTAACTTTCTTATGGTATATAGGGGTAAGGCCTGGGATCATTAGGCCAGTTTCCTGTGTTTAGAAGGGGACCTCACTGGAGCTCCTTTGTCAGAGATTTACATGGGAACAAACCTCTAGTGCTTTTAATCCTGACCCTTTTTTTCTTTTGTAGATACTAAAAAAATTTTAAGTTAACTAATAATCCATTAGTTACAAATTAGTTAATAATCTTTTAGGACACAAATTAGTTAACTTTATGTTGTGTGGGAATTTTTTTAAAATATTCTCATTAGGAGATAATAATATTGGGTTAGATAATTTCCCAGTTTGGTGAGGAAGACAGATGAGCACAGATTAAGGGTACCCAGTTTAGCCCAAACTGAATCCTGAAGGAGAAGAATCTGTACTTTTTAGAAAAATAAAGCATTAAATACACTCAACCCTGACATGTGAGAAGAGAGAATAATCAGAAAACCACAGGTTCCATGTGGCTGATAACTAGTGTATGCTAGTGGCAAGAGAAGAGACAGATGTTCAGAAATGTAACCAGTGACCAGCTCATTGTGCAGTCACTGAGAAGTGGAGGGAGTTTGGGCTTGATATCTTGAAAGTGATGTGGAAGAGATATGAGTGAGATTGTATGTTAGAAAGATCACTGGCCATTGTTTAGAGAATGAACTACAAGGAATAATTTCTGAAAGGCAGGAAGATGGAATAAGGATGTTCTGAGTCATACACAGCACAAGCAGTGGCATTTAAATGAAAAGGACTGACTTTAAAGCTATTATAATAAAGAAATGAGAGTATTTGATGAATAATGGATTATAGAAAGAGCAGGTGATGCCTATGTTGCGGGCTTTAGCAGCTCGCCAAATGGTGGTGTCATTTGTTGAGATGGAGTTTCTTAAGCCAGTTAATGAAATTTGTCTGAACTGGTGATGGATAATGTTGTCTATATGGTGAAGAAGGTAGACCCTTTTAAAAAAATTAACCAAAAATAAAACCAAAAAAATCATAAGTTATTAGTTTTTTTAGATTTAATGGGTTATTTTTTTAAAGACATATTAAATGATTGCTTTGTACCCTCTTCAAAGAACAAAGAATATAGAAACTATGTGGGAAGTAAAAAGAGTTCCATTGCTTTTAATATGTTTCATTGTGTAAGTCACAGTTCAGATAAGTTTTCTCTTTTGTGTTTTAGGCAAATCGTACTTGCCCAATTTGTCGAGCTGATGCTTCAGAAGTACATCGGGATTCAGAATGACCAACCTAAGAGCACAAATTTAGTTTGGGTGTTCCTCATCACATGTATATACGGACTATCCATTGAACTTAATCTGTGTGGCTTCCAGCCCTCCCTTTACCAAAAGGGTCAATGGACCTTTCTTTGCACTGTGTGACTTAATCAACTATAAAAGCTTACAATTAGTCTTCATAATTATGGGATTGTTATACTAACCGTGTGATTGGAACTCCAAAGACTTTTTCTTTAGCTTAAGTTTGTGTGTGCACTAACATTCCCTGGTTTTTGTGTGATCATTCCGAGTGTTGCTGCAAGATTACAGTGGACGTGATCTTTTAGCATGTGCTTTTATAAAAAGTGGTAGCTCCAGATGATATAGCAATCTACCTTATATAGAGCCTTCAGAAACTGTGAGTGGAAGTGAGTGCAAAGTATGACTGTTGGTGATAAATGTATCTCTGTGTGTGAGAGAGAGTGTGTAACTACTTGTGTGCAGGCATGGTAGCTAATGTGTGTATGAGATCTATATACCAGCATGTACCAAGAATGTGTGTGTAGTTTTAATTATGCTGCAATGTATAATCTGGTGTGTTATTTAAACAGCACTAGTACTGTACACTGGTTTTTTTCCCCTTGTGTTTGCTGTTGCACACTGATTGCTAAGGGTGCATCAATTACAAGCGTTGAATACTCCATCCCCTTCCCTCCCAGTGAATGGAGTGAGAAAAGCCGCCTCCCTTTGCTTCAGGCAGCTGTCACCTTTTCTCATTTGTGGTCCAAGTGGGTCACTTACAGGAAAAAAGGGTAACAGATCTCACTCCATGAACCTGATTTTTTTATTCTGTTCTGAAAACTTTTTAAATCTCCAACTTGCTGTTTCCAAAAAGAAGGTGCAATATCATACATCATCAGTTAGCAATATTAGCATTTCAATCAATGATTTGAATGTTGATACTTGTTTTTTCCTTTACATTTCCAGTAAGCTTCTAAAGGAAGTACTTGTGATTTTTTTTTTTTTTTTAATGTTTAGATTGTAGTCTATTCTGAAGATATTTGAGTAATATATTTCTAAGAATACCACTGGTCCCATGAAGTCTCACTTCCTTGACTTCCAACAGAACAAAATCTGTTAGCTAACTCAGCTTGATTTCTGGTATATGTTCTTTGTTCAAGCTCCCATGGACAACTAAGTTGTTTTAAGAAAATTGTATTTCTGTTTGAGTTAATTCACCTGCCAAGCTCCAGTTCTGAAAGTTGTCTCGTTCTCTCAGTAAATGTGCTTCTCATCAAACCCTCGATTCCAGGATGGATCAAGTGCTGTGACAGCTCTAGTTCCTTAGACCTGATGTTTTATTGCTTTTTATTTTTATGTTTTTTTGAATGAAAAAAATATTATAACAGGTGTCCAAAATACTTGCAGTATAATGAAGATATGATTTTTGTATAAAAAAAATAATGCTGTAAAACAGGAATTGACCTTCATTTAGTTGATCTGAAATATTTCCATACATAGCTGTGCGTTTTTTTAAAAATAGATTTATTGAGCATAATGCAGACTGTTTAAATTCAGTTTTCCAGCAGTGTTTAGATTCTTCTCAAATTCTTTGTGTGCTCAACATTGCCTGCCTCTTCCCTGCGGTTGATGCCATTGCTTTGCAGGAGCACAAGCTGTGTAGTTCCAGTCGGGATTGTGATGATTTGCTGCCAGCCTCACTCAGCTTTCAGTTGGCTCTGTGTTGGTCTTCTACTCAGACAGTGTTAACTACTTATTACTGCCATGCTACTTGCCTTCCCTTGAAATCTCTATAAGCTCATCACAGCTTAGAGTTCAGTAAAGTCAATTTACACAGAAGCACAATTTTGCCCTTTTCCAGACACTGTTGCCTCTAGTCATACAAATAGAATTTTGCATACTCTCTGTTTGCCCTTAAATTTGTCAGTGCATCATAAGTACATCTAAACAGTGATAAAATGCAATGTTACTTTTAAATCATTAGGATATCCCCACCTATTCCTGATGAATAAAAAGTTTGTTAAAAACCAAAATTATTGGCATAATAATCAGCTACATTACAAATCACGTAGAGTTTAATCTTTATTTTTTTTAATTAAAAAAAATCATGTTTAAAATGGCAAAAGCCCATCTTATACATAGACTCTTTTATATAGCTGCAAAAAATTTTTTATCTGTACAGCTCTAACGTTACACTACTACACTCAGTATTCATTTTATTGAAGCATGCAAGTAAAGCACTTTTTCTAATTTATATAGATAACTAATTAACAAGGCACATTGTACTAATGACTAGGAAAAGTAGCTCTTTTTTCCTTCCCTCTGACGATGAATTCTTGTCATAATATCCCTTTTCCGGTCAGTTTTTGAGAGGCAGTTGGCAATTTAGGAGGCAGCAGGGTCTATTGATAAAATTCTGAATTGTTGACTCTTGTGACTGATCTCTCTTTGGGAATGTATTTTCTTTGCATGGGCCTCTTAGAGATGTGTGCAGACTTGCTTATTAAGTGGTTAGTACATATTATACATGCATGTGCTCTGAACCAGCTCAGACTAGCCAAATGAGCAGCTTTGTGGCTAGCAAAAGAGAAAGAGCAGTTGATTTGTTCTAGCTGTTGTCACCTTGGGTGATGCACCAGATAGCAGGCAGATGTTGGTTTGTTGCCTTCTTCCTCTTTCCTCCTAAAACAATATTGGCTTTACCATCTTAACTCTGCTGTGGGGTCTTATTTTGGGGTTTTTTGTTTTTTACATGAATTAGCATCTTTGATTTTTTTTTTTTTTTTTTTCCCTCCAGCCTCCCCTACCTTACCCCCAAAAACAGAACAAAACAAAAAATAAGTCAAGGCCTCCAGGTATTGAGATCTCATTAGGATTTTTCTTTTTCTTTTTTAAGCAAAATTTTAAAAATGTGGAAGCATATTTAGATTTTATACACTCTCTCAAATGTGATTTGTTAAAGATTCTTAAATTTGGGCCTCTTAAATATTTTGAATGAGATCTATAATTCACTTGTGCAAATATTTTTCATATATGTCTTTAGGCCTTCATTGGGAACCTATCTTCCCCCTGCTGTACATTGGGTTACCTCATTTTGCTGTTTGTTTCAGATTATGAAAGCTTACAGGGGTGTTTTTGGAATCATTTGCTGAGTCATTTCCTCAAATCATATTCCATTGTATCAGTTAACATAGTTTTAAATGTATGTATTATAAATATCTGTAACCAAATCATTTGAAGGCTTGATAAATTTTTAACAAAATTTGTACATTTTTTATGAAAGTTACTAGTAATGCTTTACTAAGTAGTGCAATGAATTTTTATTTTTAATCCCTGTGCCCAATTTTGGAGTTGAGAGGGTTGTTGGTAATAAATGTATGATGTACACTTAACATATTTTGTTGTGTTATGTTACTGTGTAGGAAGTGGGGTTGTGTGTACTTGAGGGAGGGGGTTGGGGATCCAGCAAAAAGATAGAGCTGTTGAGCTTCTAGTAGCTAAATTTAATTTTTAGATTAATTCCAATTTTGTTTCTGCATTTGTATAAACATCTTTGAAGCACAAAGCAACTAATATTTTAACATGTGGTACATCCTATATAATAAAAGGCTAATGTGCAAATTATCTCCTTGACTGGGAGTTCAACCAGAGGGCAGGGCCACCTGGCCAACTGCCAACAGCCCCTCCTCTTAGCCGGCCTAGCCCAGTAGGTCCCCATCGAGGTGGGCTGGCCGGATCCCACCTGTGCATGAATTCGTGCACCGGGACTCTAGCGATTATAAAAAAAAGGCCAAAAAGATAGCCAAGTTAGCCACATTTGTGGCATAAGCTTATTGAACAGTAGAGAAGCATAAGTAGGTAACTATTTCTATATATGTTAATTATAAGATGCAGGAAATAAGATTACAAGACAATTGGGGATATTTGACTATTAGTGACAGCTTACATCCAACTTATTGTCAGCATAATAATGAAAAGAAGTTTCTGCTTATCATTTTCCATACATATTTGTGTGATTCCTTCCCTTGGATTAAAAAAGGAAGAAAATAAAAGCAGCCTACTTATATACAGTATATGCTGACTGTATTACTTAAGAAGGGAAGTAGAAACAAAATACAAGAAAAATTGAGGCCAAATAATAGATTCCAACATTTTGTCTTTCAGGAAACAGTCCTTCTTTGGCATAAGAGAAGGGAATGCCCTCTGACTAGTACCAGTACTCAGTTGACAGAAGCATTCAGAAAAGTGACCAGGGTCTGACTGTTTCCCTCATTTTTACAGCATATTTGAAGGAGTGTTTGTGTTGGACCTTAAATGTCTTAAGAAACCCAATACTTGTGCTGTCTTATGGCAATGGCTTTTACTGCTCAGTTAAATACCCATGCATGCTGCCACATCCCCTACCCACCGTCAGGCAGGGAGCCCACACAGCTGCTCTGACAACAGGCCTGGAAGCACAGGCCATGTGGGAGCGTGGGAAAGGCGCACTCCTTTCCTCGCCACAGTGACACAGCCCTGAGGCCCGAGTCACTTCCCTGGAAAGGAGCTGTTGTGGAAAGGCACTGGACTCTCAGAGGTCCTTACGTAAGATGTGAAAGGTGAGCTCTTAGGACTTAGCTTTGCCAAATTATTTGCCCCTTTTATAAGTTTTCCATCTTAACATGGTTTGATTGTACTAAACCTTACGCATACCAAATGTGCCAATTAAACATCACTGGCTACAATTACTTCTTAATAGCTCACAAGATCTGATTTGCACCAGAAAATAAAATTCTTGTATTTGTGGTCACTTCCAAGTGTTTCAGATCTCTTGCACTTCAGACTAGTGAACTTTACAGATGATGCTGCCCATTCCTACATAATAAAAGGCCACAGACCGTAAGCGGAATGACCAGAACGACTGCTCAGCCAGTCCCATGAGGTGCCTTGACCACCTCATGGGCATGGCTCAGTGTGCAGGAGGCAGGTGTTTCTCTCTCACCAATGTTTCTAACTCTCTCCCTCTCCC